TWAAAAAARARTGGCARTAACTCTGGAATAAAACAAATGTTTATTCAACATAATAAAGAACCACAAGTAACTAATTCATTTTTGTTTACTCTCTTTAATGAGCCCTACCATACAACTTGGCCAGCTTCCTTCTCAAAAAYAGAACAAACCAAAGCCAACCAAAAAACTAAATTTCAACAGCCTACAAATGAARAGTGGTAAAAAAGAACTAAATTTCTTTACAAGTGCTGTTTTTAATACAGGGCTTCTGGTTTATGAATTAACAGTGCTAACTACAAAGACAGGATCACTATCATTTTGCTCTTTTCCCTTTTCCCACAAAAAAAAACCCCTTAAAAATCCTTCCAAAACCATTCTGTGCTTAGCAAAGAGTTTTGAAAACTTTGTGGTAAATATAAATTTTGTTGCCTAAATTTGCATGTCCAGTGACTTTATTCTTAGTTTTGTAAGCACGTGCAGACCCTGATCTTGTGTTGAAGCACAACCCAGCCACCARAAGTTATGTGGTGGATAGAAATAACACATTCTCTTCACAAGCTTTTAAGGGTGACACAATATTCCCAACATAAATGAGGAACAAAGCAYTTCCTCATTTAACATGGCAAGACAGGGCAGTATGATCATGATTATTTCCAGCCATTGCAAAGAATGACAGGAACCTTCTTGTCCACATGAGAGGTATTTCCTCAGAGAACTTTTTACAACTTGGACTGTGAGCCTTAGTAGTTAAGTTTCTTTACATAGAGCATAAATTTGGCATGAATTTAGATGCAATGAATTTGCTCTTTGTTGTTTTAATTCTCTTACACATCTACCCCACCATACCTTATGATCTGGCACCTCTGTACCTGGTACAGCTCTCATGTGAAAGTCYACAACTCCAGTCTTTTTCAGTGATTCCAACAGACACATTTGGTCATTGCTCTGTGGTTTTTCTTTCTGCAGCTTTGCTTCCTCCCTCTCCATGGCGAGCCTGTACCAGAAAATACATCACACGTGGAAAAGGGTCTGCCCAGGGGCAGAATTAGAGCTGGCAGTGATCCCCTCCCACAGAACAGCAACCACTCACTACTCAGKGAATTAACACCCACCACCTTTAAGGGAATAATGATGCAAAACATCATCAATGTTGCAGCATCAAACATACATCAACAGCCCACAGGGTCTATAAAAACTGAAAGAGTACAGAAGATGAAAGTACAGCCATAACATTATCAGATAAGCAGAAAAAAAGGTAATTTGAGCAACAACATACATTTAAAAATTGATTTCTACCTGTGCAAAAAGCTTTCTTTGGCCATCTCTATTTGCAGTGTGCCCCCTTTCCATTTTGTTTTATTTAAAATTGACATGCCTGCAAAACAATGAGATGGGAAATGAGTATTTTCTATGTTAAAAAAGGCACACCACAGACTCCACTATATCTCTTTCCATGAGAGCCTGAGGCTCCCTGAGCATGACCTTCTACCTGACTGCTCACTTGGGTTAAAGTTGTATCTTCAAGGTCCAGTATTCAAACCTTAACTCAGAAGGTCTCCATCCAAAGTTTTCACTTATGACAGCATTCCCCAGATACAGGGGCACATTACAACAGAAGCTTCACATCAGCTCTTCCTCTGGGTTTCAATTCCAGTGTTTTATAGACCTGATAAAAGCATTTGAAGCACATTTCCTACACATTTTCATAAAAGGCTTAGAACAAACMAACAGGTTGCCCAGAGAAGCTGTGTCTGCCCCATCCCTGGAAGTGTTTAAAGCCCAGTTGGACAGGGCTTGGAGCCACCTGGGATAGTGGAAGGTGTCCCTGCACATGGCAAGGGCTGCAATGAGGGGATCATTGAGGTCCCTTCCAAGACAGACCATTTTATGAGTCACTGAAACTCACAATCACCTATTTCAGTCATAAGGAATATTTTCAATCTCTTCACAGCAATTTCTGAAAACTTCAGCAAAGCAGCTTCCATARAACTGCAGCTTAAAGAAAACACAATCAACCTGGCAAGAGAATGAAAGAGGCTCTGCCGTGACCACAACTGGATGTGACAACACTGGATGAATTATCAGCATTGTGACTTGGCTCAAAAACACATCTAAGTAAAAAAAAAAATGTACTTACATTTTTTAAGATCTGCATCAGAAATGTTGACACTGATGTAGGCAAAGGTTTTCACAGGGTTCCCTGATTAATAACAAACATTAAGTTAATTCCTATGTAGTTTCAGTGTTTACTTTAAAACTGAAGTGTCTCTGAAGCAAAAATTCAATTTCATACTCCAAATCAAAAAGCAATTAATTTTTAAAAGATAAAAACTGTTACCCTGATCATCTTTCCTGGTAATAATCTCTGCCTCCAAAACACGCCCAAAYTTCCCAAATCTTTCTTCCAGCTCAGCCTTGGAAACCGTATGGCCAAGCCCTCCAACATACAAACGTTTGGAAACTTGTTCTTTCTCCATGTTGAGAAGTCAAGCTGTCACACTCAGATCACACACTCTGTTTCTCTGCAAAGAAACAAAACAGTTCACTGACACTTATAGAGATTATTGTAATTAGAATAATGAATCATGGACAAATCAGCGCATTAGAAAACCAAGAGAAACCTTACGAGCAGAGCGCTCCTTTCATCTGCAATAGGAGGCACGCTCTCAGCGCAGCGACAGCAAACCCCGCGCTGCTGCAGGAAACCAAGGGGCAGGCATTGGGGATTTTTTAAAATCCTGAACCGTGTAAGTGCCAGGGCTCTTTACGATATAACCCAAAGGTTCCCTACGGAGGGGACGCGAGCCGCCCACAGCCCAGCAGAGCACAGCACGCCATAGCGCAGCCTGGCGCAACCTAGCCTAGCCTAGCCTAGCCTAGCCTAGCCCAGCGCAGCCCAGCGCAGCCCAGCGCAGCCCTCCTCTCCCGGGAGATGCCGAGGGACCCCCGGCCTGAGGAGCCCCGGTACCCCCGAGGTGCCCCCGGCCCTTCCTCACCACCGCCATGTGCGAGCCTCGCAGCGCCACACAACTTACCTTCCCCCTCGCAACTCTTCCCAGCCCTCACTCGGAAAACAGGGTTCCGCCTCCAGGGGCCGCTGCATTCTGATCGGCTGCCCGTCTCTGCTGGGTTCCTGTTTCCAGCCGGTCTACTGTGGTGTGAACACAGGGGCTGGGTCGTGTGACAGCGGCCGCTTTGAAAGTAACAAACCAGGAAGAAAAGCAGGGGCATTTTCCGGAAAACGTGAGCAAAAATTAACGTAAACAACAGGACAGCCGACAAAACAACGCTTTCCCCCGTCATTTTGGCAAATAACTGGGAGTTATCCCCCAGCGGTTCTGTTGTTTGACAGGGAGGGGAAGGAAGGCGCGGCCTCCCCCCCCGCTCGGGCAGCAGCTGTGGTAGCGCTCGCGGAGTGGCGCGCGGTTCGAAAAGCGCGGGGCGCGCGCGCTGAGTCTGAGCGCTCCCTTCCCTCAGCGCCGGCCCCGAGCGCTCCCCTCCTTTCCCCGAGCGCTCCCCTCCTTTCCC